ATCATCAGCCATAGGTCTACACGCTATAGAATCAGGCCACAAAATTGATTTTGACAATATTGAAATAATCCAGAAAAACTTCAGAAATCATAAAGAACATCTAATATCAGAAGCACTTCATATCAAGTGGAATCCAAATTGTCTGAATAGGAATGATGGACTAAAACAGAATCTGACCTGGTTACAACACCTCCCTTCCCCATCAAGTGACAAAATCAACACGAATGTGATATGCAAGTTCACCATGTAAACACACACTGCTTTTATAGTTTTACACACTGATCAAATCCAACAATCTACACATGATGGTTTTGTTATCTTCACCAATTGACCAACTTGACAACGAAAAATGACCTCAGACTGACGAACGATGATCAAGTTAGCAAACTTTGTTTTGATATCATAACAGACGTACTATTACCTTTGTTATTTGGTTTAGTGATCTTCATTGCTATTTTAACTTTCAATATGTCCTCCTTTTAACTTGACCTAAGTTGTTTATTTTCTCACCGGCTCTTAACTCTTTGTTACATATATATATGCTGAAATTTTGTAAAGTCCGGTTTAATAATACTTTGATAAAGCTATTAGCATTAAATAGCGAAACGTCAGTAAAAAACATTATAGTTTTGTTGTTTCATTCAATGGGAAATATAAAAAACACCTTTATTATATAATGGATATCATATACCCAATGCCCAAATTTTTTCTAACTGTTAAAAGTGAATTTGGTTTGGACATATATAATTTTTATACACTTCTAAAATATTACGAATTGTGCATACACCTTTTTCTGTCAATGGACAGTACTGTTGATAGGTAATCTTACTTTTTTTACGCATTTCGGCAATAGAAAAGCCTGGTTGTCAACTTGAAAACGACACATGTCTAATTGTTCCATATACTTTGTGATTTTATATCAGGATTTTCACTAAAACGTTTATATGAAAATATTATTTTTTAGGTGTGTTACTGAGGTATTGGTATTCCTATATCTTTTATAAAAGAGCCTCTTTTAAAATGCACAATGAATGTTCACTTTATGTTTAATGAGGAACTATACAGACAAATTGATGGTATGGGAATGGGGTCACTCACCACCGGGACCAATTCTAGCCGATATTTTCTTTGTAAAACTAGAGAATGGGTCTTCTTTAAAAGATGTAATTGATGAACTAGAATGATACATTTTTGATTATGAAAAATGCGGAAGAAGCAAAGAAATTCTTTGACAAATTTAACGATGTTCATCCTGCAATAAATTTTAGCATCGAGAAAGAAAGAGACTCTAGTATTTCATTGCTAGACGTCCTTATGACTGGAAAAGAGGATGGTATAATACTAATTTTTTCAGCTTCATGCCTTTGAAATACAAACGCAAGCTAATAAAGTGTTTGGTCTACAGAGCAAGAGCAACCTGCTCTGATGAACGCCTTAACGAAGTGCTTAATATTATTAAACAGTTGCTGAATGAGAACGGTTATCCAGAATAATTTATCGATAAGAATATAAATCAGGAGTCAAGGCAGACCAAAGTACCAACAGTTCCGAGAAAGGCCTTATTCTTACAACTTCAGTTTCTCGGGGATAACATCAGTGAGATATTAACACAACGCCTAAGAAATGCGGTGAAAAGAGCACTCAATACCGCAGAAGTATGCTGTCTCCCCTATTTTGCGTTCGGAAGTTAACGATAAGCTGCCTAATTCCTCCACTTCTATATCTATCTATCAATTTGACTGCTCCTGTGGAGCCAGTTACATAAGCCGTACAAATGGGCATGTTTATCGATCCGATTTCCGAACACCATCCTGAGTGGTTAAGTAAGGGAAAAACAAAGTCCATAGTTTTATATTATTTCATCGAGTAGATACAGAACACAAGACTGATGTTTACGAGGCCTCGAAAGTCATCTACCGTATACCAAATAATCTTAAATTTACCTCAAGGGTTCGTCTATTACATATTGCTGAGTCTAGTGGAATCTACACCAAGAAGCCTTATCTATGTATCCAAAAGAAATTGGTTCAGACGCTTTTCTTACCTTAACCATCAGGGTTTTAATGACCAGTAAGGTGCAGCAAGTTGAAGATGAGGCAGTAACTCATCGAAGAAGACATTGGGAAGTGGTCGCGCTCTGTCGTGAATTGGCAGAAGTTAGAATTCAAGGACCATTTGGATCGGGTCCCAGTGGCTCAATGGTCTACGAGCTCGCTAGCTCGTAGGTCCTGCGTTTGAACCGTGGCGGTGGGTGCGTACTGATGAAGAGTCACAAAGAGCTAGGACGAAACAGCTGTCCAGTACTCAGGTTTTCCGATGGTTCTCTAACTGATGTCAGCTCATTATGAAATCCTCCATGCTATCCTTAATTTGTCGTAGAAATTTCCTCAATTTTATTTGGTATTCTAGCATAGATATGCATCTATAAATGCACATTCAGCTGTATCATTTGCTATTAATATATATATTTAACAATAGACAATAACAATCAATTTTTTTAAGTGTTTTCTAAAGTTTGACAGTGAGTGGAAATACTAAAGTGCGATAATATTGGTGCATAGGATTATGAGTCACAATCGATTAGATATATGAATGAAGCAACTAAATAAACAGAGGTCAACCTAATGTTCAATAGACATGTGTGAAATAGATGATCGGAAAATAAAGTACATTCGGAAATGTGAAAATAATGTGAATATAATATGGTGGACATAACTACCGTAACAATGGAAATTGTTAATTTTATGTAACGTCTATAGTTGTAGTGCCGGAAGAGAAAATAATCGAAAAGAATATTCTCTTCAGATTTGTTTCAAGAACTGTCGTGGAAAACAACCTGTTTGCAGACACTGTTCGTAGGACTTGATCTTTGTCAACTCTCTCGATATTCCACGACAATTCTTGAAACAACTCCGAACATCTAAACTCCCTCCTACCCAAAAGAATATTCTCTGCTGAAATTTTCTTTTGTCTTCTAAAGGTCTGAATGAATATTTTCTATATATAATTTTTTAGTGTGCTTATGAGTGTTTTGTATTTTTTATGTTGTTGAATTTTCAAGTATTCGCTGACATACGAATTCGCCATAGAAACAGTCTCACTTCGTCAGTATTGTATTTTCTTTAGAGATAAAAATTTGTCAGCCGCACAGAACTGTCCAGGTTTTGTTATCACTATCTACTTGCCTGCTAATATTCTCAAAATAAGAAGAAAATATCACCAGTTCTTCAAATGATATCGCCTTGTGACTAAGCTTGTCCACAAACTACTTTAGTAACCGCAAAGAGGAAAATATTTTACTTGCAAAGACAGAAACTTAAGCGATATTCCGGATTCTATACAGATTTTACTTTAGAGCCAGTTATTGTTGCTCGCATTCCAACAGGGGAATATGAGGGCTTCAGGAGCACATTTCCATTGGACTCTGTTTTACTGGCACCACTTTCAACTTGCTTAACAACTGTCCACAAGCTCTCTCTTCCTCTTCATGTGATCTCCTCCAACTCATCTTTCCTTATTCGGGTTTCATTTGTTTTCTCAACATATGTCTAATGTTGGTATTAGATGGTTGGAGGCAATCGGCGGCAAGCTTCGGACCTCGGTTTCGTGCTGGTTGGCACTCACCAGTCAGCAAGGTGCATCTGCACCCTTGAAGGAATTCATGTCCCTTCTGAGATTCGAACCTGCTTCAACCACTGATGTAATCAGAGACGTTACCACTGAGCTGTTCAGGCTTGCGAATGACCTCCTGTAGGACTGTATTGGATATATTTTTGATTGGACACCAGTCAGCCGATCGCCTCCAACCATCTTATACCAAAAATTCACAGTGTACTGTGATGGCGAGTCACCTAGCATGGTGGCCACATTGCAAACTTGACTGATAGAATTCAGTCTGCACCAAAGATAGGACTAGACACATTACACTAGTTACTAACTAGTGTCCAATGAAAAATATATCTAATGTTCTAAACGCAGGAAAGATGGAGAGTAGCATGTGAAGCTAGCTATCCTATTGTGCAAAACACACTCTATTCGCAAATGAAACTTTAAAGAAAATGGGACCAGTTGATTCATAGTAAATTAGACAATATTAGTTATTGCCTCATCGAAGAAGACATTGGGAAATGGTCGCGCTATGTCGTGAATTGGCAGAAGTTAGAATTCAAGGACCATTGGATCGGGTCCCAGTGGCTCAATGGTCTACGAGCTCGCCTTGTAACTAGAAGGTCCTGAGTTCGAACCCCGGTGAGTGCGTACTGTGAGGAGTCCCAAAGTAAGACGAAACAGCTGTCCAATACTCCCTGCAGGTTTTCCAGTGGTTCTCTAACTGATTTCAACTCATGATGAAATCCTCCATGCAATCAAACAAAATTCCTACAAAACCAATTCTTGAAAATATGTTTAATTGTTGTACGTATCAAGTGTGAACACTAACCTACTGTGTAAAATGAATCGACAAGTAAATAAAATTACTACTGAGCTAACAGAAATACCAAAGCAACTAGCTATGGTGCAGACTAAAGCTATCGAAATACTTCACCTACCTGATTACACTGTGAACATTCTTCTCTCCCAAATAATGATATTTTTGTAAACAAAACAGATGAATACTTCTATCCAGTGGTTGTAGTCTCCATTAAATAAGGCTAAACGAAGCTAATAATCTATTTGTTGGCCAGAGTATAGAAAGAGTGTGTTTCTTCGAGAAATTGAAAAGAAGAAATTAATGTTCTTTTGTCAATATATCAATTATACATTGATATGTTTAGCTCTTTTTTATTTTTCCTCTGGTCAATTCCCAAAACATGAAAAGTTATTGTAGAACATATATGTTGACAATTAGAAACCATCTTAATATTGTTGCCTATTTACTAGCTGAATTGAAGCATACACTGTTAACACAATAAATTCATTTATTTAACTTATACACATTTGAATTACTAATCTGTTAAAATAATGTACAATAAATAGAATCAAAAATTATCACGCATACTCACTGAGCCTTCATAAGCAGTATAAGGTGGACTTATATCTTGTTCAGTGAATATTATATAGAAATGTTTGGCGTTAATATGGTTAACTGAAAGAAATTGAACATTTTCACCGAACCATAATTTTGAATTTGAATTTGACCGCCAACCACCAGTAAAATTATTGCTTTCATTAATTCGCGTTTGTTTAGTGTTAGGAGAATTTGGATGGTCTGTTTGTTGTTGATATTGATTTAAGTATTCATTCATATCAAAGGCAGTTTGACACTGGGGTTTAGGACCAAATCCATAAATTCTTGGTCCAATTAACTGAGATCCAGATTGGTGTTGAGCGTTCGCAACGACTAAACTATAACCTGTTTTAACTAAATAAGTGATATAATTTTTTTTAGAATGTATCATACAAAAACCTATAAAACACAGGCTAAAGAGAAAGAGATAAGCAAAACAGACTTCTAAAATTAATGTCTGTAGAGTGATTGTAAATGAAGCTTCTCGACTAGTTAGGATATTCTTTATGAGCAATATGACAGATTCATCAACCTGAAACCAATCTGGAAATCTTCGTCACTCAGTATCAACAACAAAATTCGGATTTTCAATACAAACGTCAAGTCAGTCAGTTCTTCTATACGGATCAGAAACTTGGCGGGTCACAAAGAATATTTCCAACAGCCTGTTGCAGACCTTTATCAACAACTGTCTTCGCTCAATACTACCGAAGATCAGATGGCCGGAAAGAACAAGAACCAACAAGAAACTATGGGAACAAACAAAACAAGAACCAATCGCCCAACAAATATGCAGGAGAAAGTGGAGATGGATTGGACACTCGCTGAGGAGGCCACTGGGTGACATCACGCGTCAGGCCATAGCTCGAGTGGAACCCGAAAGGGAAACGGCGAGTGGTTCGTCGGTGCAAGGGTGACATGGAGGAGATCGTGTGAAGAGGAGTTGAAACAGTATGGAATAACATGGACGCAGGTGAAAAGTACAGCAGAAGACAGAAGCAAGTGGAGGCGTGCAGTTGAAGCCCTATGTTCCACTAGGAACCCAAGGGAACAATAATAATAAATATGACAGATAATTAATGGTATAAGCTAAATTATTACATGATATTCAGAAAATGTATTCAATTTTCCGACGTACAAATTCATTTTTAGGAGGACCTTGTGTTGTTACTATCAATAAAATCCTTGAAATGAAGTAGAAAATTCATGTTTTTCAGAAGTGAAGAGGATATACGCAATGAAAATAAGATAAAGCCAAGCCTATAGACCTTGCTATAACTGCTGATTTTACTTCGATGGTTCAGCGGTGAAATACTTGCCAGCCAAGCGCGTAGTTGAGGATGCATACCTAAACGTCGCTTTGCCAGTGGTATGGGCGGTAAAGACAGAAGGTTGAGCTCCAGGTTAGCAACCTCACCCAGAAGAAACACCACTGCTATTGAAACTTCAAAGCTGAAGCTTGAAGCCCTATGTTCCAGTTGGGACGCAAAAGAATTAAATAAATAATAATAATGATTACTGACACTACTGAGAACAAAAAGCATAAATTTATGAGGAAAAATAATTCTAAGATATAACTTTCATCTTGATAAATGGAAGAAATATTAATTGTACAATTCTGTAAACTAATCCCTCTTGTACTTTTAAGTATGGTTGTAGTATGGCTGAGTACATGTGTAATAATGTGATTAGTTCTTATATGCGTATTTATATGCATATATGGGGTGAAAATATACCATAAATAGTGCAGAGTTGATCTAAAATGGTATTCATGAGGTAGATTACTAAGAAGTATTGAATTTAGTGAACAGGTACAGTGAAAAGGTGAAGAAGCAAATGAAATTCTATTTTTCAGGTTAACCTTTTACTCATTTAGTCTACTGTACTGTTACCAAATACTTTTGTGCAAGTATGTTAAAATTGTTTTTAGATTGAGATTGTTTTTGTAGATACATTTAATAATGTCTTTGCCCTGTAAGCAGCTGACGAGAAGGCAACGAAATAAAAGATGGTACCATTTTATTCTGCTAAAAGTGTAGTTTTTGCTTTGTTCAAATTCATTAAGGGGAACAAATGTATCAAATACTTACAATTGCAAATGCATGTAATACTTTTTAGGATTCAGAATCATTTTTTGTTTAAAAAAATGTGATTTCTCGTGAATTCAGATAGTAAGATAGTTGAGTGAGTGAGACGAATAAAGTAGACATTTTGATGTGGTTGGGTTCTCTGAGTTGGGTGGTTTAATTGCTGTGAAGATTTCAGAGTCCTCCTAGACAACATATGCACCACTAACTTCAATGATATGTGAATTTAAAAGTTAACTTTAATATCCTTGAATATTATATTTTGCATCTCCTTGACTTTCTAAGAATACCATTTTAGATAAAAGAATAGTTGGAATTTTCATTTCATTCAAGAAGTAAATAGAAGGGAGACATTTCAAAGATATGCGTCAGGGGTTCACTGGTAGGATGCTCACCAACCACGCAGCAGGTTCGAGCTCGATTCCGCGCCGACACACCACTAAACCTTGTCCAGTCGGTGGAAAGCATGAAGAAGTGTGAAGGTCAGGCGTGAGGCTAACAACCCCACTACCTCTAATGAAACTTTAAAAGAAGCCTGAAGTCATATGTCCCACTTGGAACTCAAGGAATAGAAAAAAATATTTTCTGAGGTGAAAATCTATGTAGAGTCAATGATGAATAATATGACAGTTAAACTTCGACTTTAATTTTTCTAAATTTTCACTTTTTTATCCTGTCTGTGAAAATTACTCACCTCCAATTCATGGTGATAATGATACTAAGTAAATCAGTTGGCCGTTAAATGGTCAGACAAATCGAAAACGTAATGAAAGGTGAAAAAAAATTAGTAAATAAGATAAGTAAGAGATGCCTGTGTCTCAGCCTGTGTCTCCTCTTTTTATTCAGCAGTTGTTTCGCTTCGCATGTCCATAATGCTATAACTCAGTATCAGTTTTTTTGCCTTAAACAAAACTACTATATTTCTATTGTTTTAATAGTTGAAATAAATCAAACCAGTGCTTCAAATGATAAAAAAGATAGCCAGTGTTAACTGACTATTCATAGGCTGCATTTTTTATAAATAGATTACATACATAAATGAAACTGACAGGCAAAAAATAATTATCTCATCTATTTGGTGAATAATGTTTGGTTATTGTTTAAAGAGAATAAAATAATTTCGGTTATCATTTATCCAATCTTCATATTAATAATTCAGGTTAGATCAGAAACTGATATCAGCAGTTGCCTCGTCCTAGTTTGTGACTCTTCAGCAGTACGCACGTATTACCGATTGGAAGAAAGGCTACCTTATCAAACTATCGAAGAAGGGTGATTTAGGCCTCTGCAAGAACTGGAGTGGAATCACACTCTTGTCCACTAGAAGGAAAATGTTAAGTCAACGCGACTTGGAAAGACTAAGAGATGTACGGGATGCAGAACTCCGCCCTGAAAAATAATCGGAATTCAGGAGAAGCAGATCATGTGCGCATCAAATTACAACGTCATCGAACAGGGCATAGAATAGAAGTCGAGTCTCTACCTCAACTTCATCGACTTTGAAAATGCCTTCGATAGCGTTGATCGAGAAGTAATTCTGAAACTGTTATGGAATGCCCCAAATCCTAATCAACTTTATTCAACAGTTATATGACAACTTCAAGTGTCAAGTAATCCACAAAGGAAAACTTAGTGAAGCTCTTAAAGTGAAGATAAGAGTAAGACCGGGCTGCCTCTTATCGCCGATGTTATTCCTAATTGTCGTGAACTGGATCATGACGCAGACTGTGTAAAGTGAATGGACAGGAATATGTTAGACCGATAAGAAGACTCGAGAAGATCTGGAGTTCGCGAACCATTTTTATGTCTAATTTCACATAAACTCAAGGGCTTACAGGCGAAAATCAACAAGTTGTTGGAGGAAGCAGGTAGCGAAGATTGGACTCCAAGTGAACACAAAGAAGACGGAGGCAATGAAGATGCGTAACCAAAACCAACAACAAACACAAATCACTATCAACGGAAGAAATCTGAAAGAGACCAATTCTTTCACTTATCTAGGAAGCATCGTTTCACCTACATATGGAAAAGATGGGGATATCAAAGGCGGGAATGGAGAAACAAGAGGATCACCATTCTGAAGTAGGTTTGGAAATCTTCTGCACTCCTCAGCATCAAGAACAAGATCCAGATTTTCAACTCAAATGTTAAGTCAGTCATTTCTTCTATTTAGGTCAGAAACTTGGTACGTAACGGAAGGCATTTCCAACAGCCTGTTGTAGACTTTCATCAACAGTTGCTTCCCCCCGTACTGAAGATCAGATGTCCAGAAAGGATAAACAACAGGAAACTCTGGGAATGAACCAATCAAGAACCTACTGTTCAACAAATATGTAGAAGGAAATAGAGATAGATCGGACAAACTCTGAGGAGACCGTTGAGTGACATAGCGCGGAATGCCCTCTAGTGGAACCTAAATGGTAAGTGAAGAGTTGGGAGTGTGAGGAGGAGGAGGAGGAGGAAATGAAAGCTTATGAGCAATCACTGAGAACACGACGAAATAGAGATATGCTCTTAAAGCCCTGTGTTTCACTCGAAACCCAAGAGAATACTAGTAATAGTATTTTCAAATAATTTCAAGCTGAGGATTTTATCACAGTAAGGTTAAATCAGATTAATTTTTCAAGTATTGGTTTTGCAGGGATTTTGTTTGATTGTATGGAGGATTTCATCATGAGATGACATTAGTTAGAGAACTACTGGAAAACCTGGTAGTACTGGACAGTTGTTTCGTTCTAGTTTGGGACTCTTCATCAGTACGCACCCACCGGTACGGTTCGAACCCAGCACCTTCTGGTTACAAGGTGAGGTCGTAGATCATTGAGCCACTGGGACCTGATCCAATGGTCCTTGAATTCTAACTTCAGATTACACATATACCACCTAAGTGCATCTAAAATTGTCTACATGTTCCAATTTTCCCATTGTTACACTAACAAAAAGTCATCTTTTTAACCTTCCATAATGTGAATGTTATTCAAATAAGTAATATTGTAACAACAGAAGACAAGGGCCAGGCAACAGAACCTTTATTACGGAAAATCAACACATATTTATAGATTGTGATGTGCATTATTGTAGGTTAATGTTAGTAGAAAATACAGTCTGTTGATTGGTTGTTTCTCACACAAAGTTAACCTTGCATCTCTTGTAGCTGTGTCAGTTCATCTATATGTTAACTGTATCCGCCTGTCCATCTTGACCTTGACGTCCATTACTGTCAACCAATTGGCTAGTAGACAGCTCTCACCACAATATTATAAATAA